TACGTGAATATAAATATATTTTATTATTATTAAAATAAATTGAAGATCTCTGGAGTTTAATATAGTAACCTTCGCTCCGGAGTCTTTTAACAATGACGGAGGTCCTCCGGAGGTCTATGCCCAAAGATCTTCGGAGATCTTTGCTAAAAAATTTCCTGATGATATTTACTACAATAGGTGATAAACTGATATGTATAGCCATATATCTCATATTTGACTATTGATCATGTAATATTTCATATTTACTCTATCAATAAAGATTATGAGAAGTGTCTCACCTTAATATTAAAAAAAAAATTAATTATAATAAATAATTATTAATCATATTTACATATTATTTTAAAAGCAATAAATAATCAAGACTTAAATATTATTAATAGATTATTACACATTATATCTTACTTTATATATTACTTATAACAACTTAAAAACATATATGAAAAAATATTTTATATTTAGGATAGAACAAAATAGAATATTATTTTGAATATATAGAATTTTAAAATTATAATATTATATATACTCATAGTATCTATTAGATTTTAAAAAGTATTAATTAGATAATTAACAAAAATCTTATAAAATCCAATATATTAAACTTAATTATTGAATTAGAATTATATGTCAAATAATATAAAACAATTCTATATATGCAGTTCAAGTAAATATAAAGATTCAACTATATTAGATAATATTTGCAAAAAGTATTTTTTATATTAATTCTTTTATATATCATATTATAATTATAAAACACAATATTATATTTATAAATATATTAAATTTAAAGATCAATAGATTATATCTTTTTTTTTAAGTAGGTAAACATTATCACTTTATTAATTATAAAATAGTTTAAAATTTGTATATGGAGAAAGTAATAATATCTTTTATATAACTTGTTAAACTAATAAGTTTAATATTAATTTGCTTATATAAATTATTTAAACAATAAGAAAAATAAATATTAAAATATTATATATCTAAGATAATACTGAGCAGTTATAAATATTTACTCAAATTTATATATAAAAAGATTATAAGAAATAAAAGTTAAAGAAAAAAAAATACTAAACAAAAAAATAAATACAAAAAAAACCAATTATAAAACTATGGATACTTTAAATAAAATTATTAGATGCATTATATTGGTAGTTTCATTTAATTGAAATATGATAGTTGTATTTCCAGAAATAACCAGACTACTATTTAAAGTATATAATAGTATTGATGATATATTTCTTTAATATATGATTAGTTGTAATATAATTAAAAATTGGTTTATTTATTAATGGTGTGATTTTGTTTTAATTGTTGTTATCAAAAAAATTTTTTATATCAATCAGTGTGTAGTATTTTGATTATATAAATTTGTTTGAAAAATTGATAGTATTTAATTAATTAAGTTCAAAATGGTAATCAATTAACAGGAATAAAATGATTATAATTTTTTGATAAAAAGTTTTTTGTATAAAATATTTTTGAGTTTTTGTGATACAGCATTATATATTAAGTAATATTGAGAAATAGATATTGAATATACTGCTAGTGTCTCAAGTTAATAGTATAAATAATTTGATATAAAGTTTGGTTTTTGAAATAAAAAAACAGTTTTTTAAGAAGATAATTTGTTTATTTAAAAAAAAGTACATATTAATAAGAAGTAAAAATAAAAAAAATTTCAAAAAAAATTATAAAGAAACAACTGTTATGAAACTTTTTTTATGCAATTCAAGAAGAGAAAAAGGACTCCAAACTTGTTTTCTTTTGGCCAGAGATCCCATTCTAATACATCAATATATTTTTTAGTTTTCTTGAGGTTTTTGTAACAATGATAAAAAAGATATATAAGGTTTTTGAATATTGCTTTAATTTTGAAAAAAAATTATTATAAAAGAAAATTTTTTTAAAAAAAGTTATATATAGAAAAGAGTTTTTTTTTTAATAAATCATATTTTACTATATAGAAATCTTAATAATATGAGTAATTATTTATTATTTTTTTTTAAAGAGCTAAGTAAGATATATATAATGTGTTGTACAACTTTTTTGAATTATTTTTAAAATTTTTAAAATTTTAATTAATAGTAAATTAAAAAATAAAAAAACTTTTTTATAAAAAAGATATAATATTATTGTTATTATTAACCAATTTTTAGATTTATTTTATATAAATTTACAAAGTTATAAAATTATATACAATATATATTTTTTAATATTATTTAAAAAATATTTTAAAATTTAAAAATTTAAAAATTTACAAATTAAAAATTAAATAAATTTTTTTTTAAAAAAAGTAAAAAATTTAGATTAAATTAACAAATTTTTAAATTTATTGAATTAAAATTTATAAAATTATAATAATTATAATAAAATTTTTATTTGTAATCAATTTTTAATACTTAAAAAATTTAATTTCAAAATTTAATTTTAAAAAATTTTAAAAAACATTTTTATATACATACTTTGTCAATTGTGGTTTTCAACCAAGACTTGTTGACTCTTTTCTGGCAAGGAGTTCCTGTCTTGAAATCAAGACTAACGAGGAAACTATGTTGGATTTTCTTGATGAACGTGAGCAAATGGATCCAACGATTTTGTTAGCATCGAGGGGAATGAAGGTATAGAATTAGGAGAAGATAGGAAATTACTTGTGAAATGGGGTCTTACAGAGGAGACTGCGGACAGACTATGTTGTAATATGCAAGGTCCCATTTGGTCTCAACAAATGTTAAAACATTGGCTACTTGACTGGATTTACAACTTATGGGATACATCCGTCCAAATAAGTTTCAATGCAGTTTTTTATAATTCACGATTTCAACACAATGAATGGCACAGTTATGAAAGAGATGATGATCCACAAATGTTTGCCTCGTCTTATGAAGAAATCGTTACTATTGGAAAAGATGGTTTAATTAGTTGCAATACAAAAGTCTCTAACCCAACGGACTCTAATCCCAAGGCTTTCTTCCATGCAACAGACTATCAAAGTGCTAAATACAGTATATCGGTAATAATGGAGCCGAACTTATTTATTGCAAAGTCAAATGTGACTTTGGGAAATCTGGTGGCTTTTACCTGAATCCATTGCTTGATAATACAATCGATTTCATTAAGAGACGTAAGGGATTTAATGGAATTGTTGTATATTGAGTTAATATGGAAAAAATAAAAAGTTTAGTATATCGGATTTAATTTCGGATGAGAATTTATGGAGGGAGGTGGTGATCGCATTAAGGTGTGAAAAGCGTTCAGCAGTGGACGACGATGATTTTGTTTACGGATATCAGTTATCAAATCCTAGAGAAATTGTCAATGCGTACAATAGATCAAATAGTAAGGATCCGTGGCAGAATCTCATACCTTTAGCTAGATGGGTTGAACATATTCGTCATCTTCAACTTGTAGCAAAGACTAATGGGCAGTAGATATTATAAACAGCTGTTATGTTGGAACCATTTATTTTTATACAAAAGAAAGTAATGATTAAGTATAATTGAAAAAACCTATTTCGGAAGTGGGTAAAGATATACGTGTAAATGGTATAAACAGCTGTCATTGTTAAAAAATAAATAAAATTATATTGCATTATACAATATTAGCATGCCTTAATATATTGTATTCCTGGAATATAGTCCTTCAAGGATCGTTAACGTACCGTATATTATATAACATAGAATTTTTACTATTGCAAGCAAGAACATTGGTATTATAATGAGATCAAAGCACTTCTCCCAGATACCACTGATGTAAACTTGCAACAGAAAACATTAAGTGAATAAAATTTGTTAAACAAACAATTAGGCTTATCATATATTTCATATAACTAATAATTCTATTGCAAAGCAATGGCTGCTGAGCCTACATCACCTCGTGTTCATTTTGACATATTACATTTAACTAACCTCTAATGATGACTATGACTACCTCTGCGGAATTGTATCCACGGTTATGGATTGGCATTTTCTTGTTTTCACCACCGAAAAGCTTTATTGTACTGATGAGAGCAAATATCAAATCAATCTTTCGAAGACGTTAATCCAAGAGAATCTTGATACACTATGAAGTAATGTAAAAAGGATAATCGAGATAATCGTTGGGTTTTTAAAGGATCGGGTAACGGTTGATAATTCCTCAGCCAGTAAGAGGGCAAGAATCAAGAAAATTACCAAAAAGTAATCTTGTCCTTGAGCAGATTTTTAATTATCATATATTCTGTCACGGTCATTTTTTTTACTCTTAATTACTATCTATTTTGTCACTGTCATATTTGTCATCACGTGTCTTATCCTTAAATAACCTTATTAATTCTTACAAAAGTTATTAAAAAACCAGGAAATGGAAACTGTTGTTGAGTATGGAGCGTATAGTAATAATCAATGATGATTATTATTATAATTAATTAATTTTTGATTGTGACAGATGCCGTCTAAACTGTAAGTCCTCCACTACATTCCATAATAAGTACTAGGAAACGGAAGCCGTTGAGATCCGGAGTATAAGTTTATTTATAGAACGGAAAAGTAGGTTACTGTATCGAGGCATGACTTCAATGACGTAGTGAATGAAAAAGATATAAAATTCACTCTCCCTAGTACCTGAACATTCGCCTTGCTCCGGACAAATAAATAAATAAATATTAAATAAGTTATAATCCAATAAAAAATATACTCCAGATGCATACAGTAACAGTTTCCATTTCCTAGTATTAATTCTAATTCCAGTCCTACTTTGTTTTACTAATGTCTGTGAAACAGATCTAATCTGCGTCCCTTATTTAATAAGGTGCGATCGTCAGTAATCTGAAATAAATAAACAATCCTTAGATAACGCGTCGAAAAAATGCAGAAAAATAGGCGGCATGAGGACCCTACGAACTCCTCCGTATTTTGAGCCATAAAGCTAGTGTAGGGACATGACCCTAGCCAGACATACACACCCATTCTTGAGTTTAGAGACAGTCATAAACACGAGCTTATCTACCGATTCTGCCTGGTGCATAAATATCCCTTTTGAGAGACAAGGCGACTCTAAATTTTTTATTGATAAAATTTTTCTTTTAAATTACATTAGCCCCTCCAGAACATATATAACCGATCGACCTTTTCTGATAGAGTTTCAAGCTAAATATTCTTTTTCAGGGACTAGACAAGACTATTGGGACTCGAACCCGGATCTTCACAAGAGCTTGTAATTTATTTATTCCGCGTTTTGGAATTTGGGCCTTACACTAGTTCCCAAGAGTATAGATGATCTATCGAGCTTTTCTGATATTAAGCCAGTCACACTTCCAAGCTTGTCTGATGTTGATTTTCGAGACGGGTGTTCTTAAGAATTTGTCTGATATTTAGTTTCGATTCCGCCTAACGGATAAATCTTCTTTTTAAAGGACTAGGCAACTATACACTAACTCCAGAGCATATATTACCCATCGAGTTTGTGTGATATTAGGTCATCCATGCTACTCAGATGACCCATCGAGCTTGTCTGATATTGTTGTGCTCGTCTGATGTTTAATCTCGATTCCGCCTGGCGGTTAAAATCTTTTTAGGGATCAGATGATTTCACTAGTCTCAGAACAAAACCATCCATGATACTTAGATGACCCAACGAGCTCGTCTGATATTGTGTTTCGAGAAAAAATAAACACAGATTGACCCATTGTGCTCGTCTGATGTTTAATCTCGATTCCGCCTGGCGGTTAAAATCTTTTTAGGGATCAGATGATTTCACTAGTC